TTGTTGCATTTTGTTTATCGGTTGTAAACTTGCCTAGGGTTCTGTTATATCTTAGTAAGTTGAGTTGCTTAGTGTGTTGCGTCGGTTCACTACCTGACTTGGTGATTACACAATGCACATTCCCATTCAATTTCATTTTTGTGCAATGTTGCGATACGATGCTAAAAGTCTAAAATATAAACACCTTTTCAAAAGCTGTTTCATTCCATCATGTTTTACAACAAACAAGGGCATAAGTTTTACAGAAAATAAAACTTCCTAACAATATGCAAAGTGCTACAAACTACTAGCAAAAAGAAAAATAAAGCAGGAAATAGCAACATCAATGTCCTCGGGAGCGGGAACGAGAAGCACTCCTCATCCTCTTCTGTGGGACAACCTCTGCACCATCATCATCTGAGTCGGAGCTGTCATCCTCAGGATCCCCCTCAGCCCCGCCTCTGTTTCCCGAACCAAAACCGGAGCCCCCCTCCTCAGCAGATGTCTTTGACTGACGATCGGCAGCCTCCTCTTCCTCCTCAGCATCCTCCTCCTCCTCATCAGGCTCCACCTCTACGACATGAGTCCTGCGTCTGCGGACAGGCCCTCCTCGAGCTCCTCGAAAAGGCCTAGATGGCCCAGCTCCTCGGGAAGGCCAAGATGGCCCCGCCCCCTGAAAAGGCCCGGGTGACCCAACTCCCTGAAAAGGCCCAGATGGCCCAGCTCCCCAATTAGGCCCAGGTGGCCTGGCCTGCGGCTGACCGGACCATGAAGGCATCTGAAAACAAAGAGTTCAATTCAAATACATCAGTCCGAATATATACATCAGATGCAGATACAAGCAAAGGCTACGTGAAGTGGGAGCATGTAAATGCAGTGTACAAGTGGGGTGTGTGTCAGATGTGCTCTACACAAGTAGTCTATCGATACAGTAGAAATCAGCATGTCATCAGAACTATGATAAATGCCAGAAAACTGAAGAGTACCTGAATGCCCGCGACAGACAACTGTGCCTCCCTACGCAGGACCACGCCCTCGAGTGTGGCCACCAGTCCAACCACCTCCTCCATATACCCTCGATGTGGCTGCAAATATGAGCTCATAATCATCAGTGAACAAAAGAATGTCTAAACATCCCTGAATGATGAATGAAAAACAGTGGAGCATACCAGCGTGAGTCAGGATCAATGCATATCGATCATTGGGCATCGGAGGCTCTAGTGGAATTGGAGTCGGGAGATAGCCCCATACATGCCACACCATCAACTCATAGCATATCTGCGCCATTCCAGGATGAGGATAGTCGACGGAACCGGAGGAACCGGTCTACTCCCACCTCTAGATGTACCAGCCCTGCTAGAAGAAGGGGCGTCTGCAGCCCGAGTCCGAGCCTGGCCCGAGGATGACATACCGGCAGGCATCATCATCAGGATACGAGCTCCCGTCAATGGAGGCATCAAATATATGTAACGGTAAGTGGCGTAGTCCCCCTCCTCAATATGTAGTAAAGCATCACTGCCCAACATGGCGCCGACTACCTCCGAGTAAGAGAGCCTGTCAGCAGTCCGCATACTGGCTGGAGGTACTGCGGGAAGATCCTGAGAAAGATACCCCCATACCTGATGCAGAAAGCGCTCCCCCAGGAACCATACCCTGCCAATCGGCCCTTCGAGCAGGACCCTATACTGGGAGATATCCGACGCTCCGGTATACTGAAGTCGGAGACCATCACCCAGGGGCGCCCAAGGCTGCCATGTGATCTGCGGATGATAAATGCATAAACCAATCAGAAATCAAGAATACGCAGAGCAAATCAAAGATGAAAATGAAAGGAACTGAAAGTTCTGAGGTACCTCTGAATGTCGCACAGTGTCGAAGTACTGTCGCAGGTAAAGGAGGGTCTCTCGATGTCTCGGTCGGTGCGGGCCCTCGAACACCAATGAATAAGGGGTCATGGGAATCCCTGCCACCTCCAGCTCTGGGGCCAATGCTGGGAAGTATACATAAACCCATAGCTGAGAAAAGCAGTGCAGAATGTAAGTACGAAATGCTGAGAGCAAAATACAGACTGTAAAAGTGCGCTGTGTGTGCAATGTACAAGTAATGAGAAAGCAGGAATGAAATCAAGGGGACAGAAAATACTCCTCAGGCTTCCATAGCCGCCAAGTAAATCGCCCCCGCCGCGGGAAGGTCAGCGCTCATATAAAAGTAAAGGTAGCCAAAGGCGGCGCGCCCAAATCATATCAATGGACTTGATAGCGTAACCAGAGCACTCAGCAAGTATAGCCCGACTTGTGTTCCCTCTGTCGCGCGACACAGGGTAGTCCGAAAGAGATCATTAAGAAACACACGGGCCATACTGCTCTGTCTCCTCGGGAGTCTCAGGCACCATCTCCGCCCGCCGGAAATGGGAAGAGAACCAAGTGTATCGGACTCTCCCGGAAACCCTGTCAACAGGCGGGCGAGCCCCCAATAGATACATCCAGGCGGCCTCCCACTCGCCCATATCCTCATCGTAGGGGATGGACCAACCTCCAACGTCAAGGCCGGTCAATACAGCAAAGTCAAAAGGGGTCATGGTCATGTCCCCGGTAGCAGAGAAATGAAAGGAGTTGGTGGTGTCCCACCATCTCTCTACCAAGGCCGCCATCAATGTCCTCCTGGCAGGACAACGTGACAACCCGACGCAGAAGGGCCCAAACCCTGCCAGATCCACTAAGTCTCGGACACCCTCTGGGAACTCAGCGTACCAGTCCCGCGCGATGGTGGAACCATACCCCCGCACACTGCGGGAACAAACCTGCATTCAGAATGAATACATGTGTCAATAATGAAATGAACTGGACTATGTGCCAATGAGATGAATGGGCTGTGTGCCAATGAAATAAAATGGGCTGTGTGCCAATGAGATGAATGGGCTGTGTGCCAATGAAATGAAATGGGCTGTGTGCCAATGAAATGAAATGGGCTGTGTGCCAATGAGATGAAATGGGCTGTGTGCCAATGAGATGAATGGGCTGTGTGCCAATGAAATGAAATGGGCTGTGTGCCAATGAAATGAACTGGACTGTGTGCTAATGAGATGAAATGGGCTGTGTACCGATGAAGTGAAATAAGCTACATGCAAATCTATCTGGGCTGCGTGTTCAGAAAATTTAAAGTTTGGGCTGCGTGTTCACTATCTATCTGGGCTGCGTGTTCAGAAAAATTTGAAATTTGGGCTGCGTGTTCATCTTTCAGTTAAATTGTGGGCTGCGTGTTCACTATCTATCTGGGCTGCGTGTTCAGAAAATTTGAAGTTTGGGCTGCGTGTTCAACTTTCAGTTTAAATTGTGGGCTGCGTGTTCACTATCTATCTGGGCTGCGTGTTCAGAAAAATTTGAAATTTGGGCTGCGTGTTCATCTTTCAATTAAATTGTGGGCTGCGTGTTCACTATCTATCTGGGCTGCGTGTTCAGAAAATTTAAAGTTTGGGCTGCGTGTTTAACTTTTTATCAGTGTGGGCTGCGTGTTCACTATCTATCTGGGCTGCGTGTTCAGAAAATTTGAATCTTGGGCTGCGTGTTCAACTTTCAGTTTAAATTGTGGGCTGCGTGTTCACTATCTAATCTGGGCTGCGTGTTCAGAAAATTTGAAGTTTGGGCTGCGTGTTCAACTTTCAGTTAAATGTGGGCTGCGTGTTCACTATCTAATCTGGGCTGCGTGTTCAGAAAATTTGAAGTTTGGGCTGCTTGTTCAACTTTCGGTTAAATTGTGGGCTGCGTGTTCACTATCTAATCTGGGCTGCGTGTTCAGAAAATTTGAAGTTTGGGCTGCTTGTTCAACTTTCGGTTAAATTGTGGGCTGCGTGTTCACTATCTAATCTGGGCTGCGTGTTCAGAAAATTTGAAGTTTGGGCTGCGTGTTCAAATTTCAACTATTGTGGGCTGCGTGTTCACTATCTAATCTGGGCTGTGTGTTCAAAAAATGTAAAGTGTGGGCCGTGTGTTCACTTTCAAATTCGGGCTGCGTGCTCGACTAATCAGTGTCTGAGCCGTGTGTTCGCCTCTTAACTAATGTGTACTGTGCGTTCGCAATTAATTAGTGAGCCAAGTATTCAGAAATTCGAGTGTTGAAACTACATGTTCAGGATGTAAGCAAAGTACTAAGCCAAACTGCGTGTTCAAGCATGGCAAAGGTGCGAAATGTACGAAAAATATAGAAAATGAAGTAAATTCCTCTCGGGCCTCATGAGAGAGGTGCTGCTCCGGCTCTCGGAGAAGCAGATCCCCGGGTGCTCGCTCGTCAAAACTGGTGAAGTGACGGAAAACAGCGCGCGGGAGAACGTGTGCTGGCAGACGGTACCTCCCGGGAATAAAAGGTCGGGTCCTCGGGGGTAGGGTCATGGGATCGAAATCATCTCCGGCACCTGGAAAGCCTCCGCCGTGGGGAGAATCACCCGCCATTTTCAAAGAATCTGCAAAAGGAGCAAAAATGAGCGAAAATGAGCCAAAATTGGGCACCTGGAAAACCTCCGCCGTGGGGAGAATTGCCCGTCATTTTCAAAGAATCTGCAAAAGGGAGCCAAAATGAGCAAAATGAGCCGAAATTGGAAAAAGTCAACAAAAGTCAAATATCGGGAAACGAAAAGTCAACAAAAGTCAACTCCCGAGAAAATATTCCAAATATTGAGACAAACTTACCTCAAGTGGCGAAAATGCAAAAAGAAGCTCCGAAACCGGAATTTAATCGCTTCAAAAGGCTTGAAACTGAGTATTTTTGCGGGAACAATTTGCGCGGGGCGTTGGAAAACGCGCGTGAAACTCAGATCTGGAGAGGAAAGTGTTGTAGAAGGCAAGAAAGGAAGGGGCCTCGGCTGCCTTTTATAGGCCTCAAGTCTTGGTTGAAGAAGCATGCAAAAAGGAGGTGAAAAAGACCAAAATACCCCCGGATTAAAGCATATGGCCGGCCGGCCCCATTTTCTAGCCGGCCAGCTATCTGCTTTTTGGATAACTAGCTGGCCAGCTATCTACTTTATGGGAAACCGGTTGGACACCTCCCCTTGGAAAGATAAACGGCCGGCCATGCTCCCCACATGCTCACCTAGGTCCCTGCAAATTTTGAGGAAGATCGGAGTTCCCGGGACCTGAAAAAGTTCAAGAAAAGTACACTTCCGGTCGCGAAATTGCTCCGCCGGGGCTTCGGCTTCAAGTTCTGACATGTGTATCATCATCATCCATCGAAATCCAAGTGTATCCTTTTTGAATGAGTTGTAACCTTTCAGGGAAGCGGATCGGAGGCCGTGATTGAGTTACCTTCGCCGAAACACGCATTTCCGTACTCATTGTTTCATGACAAATGAACACCACCCTGATTCATGCTCGTGTCACATTATCTTGCATTCTCATGAGTATACCTGCATTAACATGCACATTTCTTAATATTGGCATACCTCTATGTATGAGCATACGCTGTCACGTATGTTCCACTCTTGCATTGCGGTGCATTCACTCACCGGCGCTACGTGTGTCGAACTTTCGGAATCACCTTGAATATATGTTGGTAGCACATTGTACTTGTTGCAATTTCTCTCTTTCGCAGGCACGATATTGTATGTACGGTTCAATTGAGGCTGGTGCGACCAGACGAATCACGCAGGTATCGTATCTTCTCCGTGTGAGACGTGGCGGGGATTGAATAATCCTCCGCATTCTTAACTGCATGAAATGTAGTTGTTGCTTTGCATTCTTGCTTAAAACTGTTGCATCAATTTGCGAATACTTGCTTCATTACAGCTTGTTGCATTCACATGATCATGAGTGAAAATCGGCTTCGCGTAGCGTGTAAGTCCAACTTTCAAAACCGGCTTCGCGTAGCGTGTAAGTCCAACTTTCAAAACCGGCTTCGCGTAGCGTGTACGTGTAAGTCCAACTTTCAAAACCGGCTTCGCGTAGCGTATAAGTCCAACTTTCAAAACCGGCTTCGCGCAGCGTATAAGTCCAATCTTCAAAATCTTCTTGCATTATCATTTGCATTTTGCCCCGGCCTGCGGGCACATTTCTGTTTATCTTGTACGTTTGTCTAAGTCTTCGGCCTTGTCAA